ATGTACTGCATGTTCTGCACCATTCTTCCACATCTTGTCTCATACCTATCCAGTAAAATCTGTGTCGTAGGTGACTTAATGTTTTCTTAACTCCGAGATGTCCTCCTGTTACAGTATCATGGGATTGACGCAACACAACTTCCCATAACTTTCTCGGTATAACTGTTTGCAAGGTCGTCACTTTCTCATCTGCAGTTTTCCATCTCCGGAGAAGAATACCATCTTCAAGCCTGAACTGGTCCCATTGTGCCCAATAGTTCTTTGTCACAGGGCTTAGACTAGACACCTTCTCCCAAGTAGGGTGCAAAACACTTGCTTTTAGAAAATCAATCATTGGTATCTTTTTTATTTTTTGTTGTTATTTTTTAAATACAGTTAATTTTTTTCAAGTTATTTAAATGTTATTCACCTAGAATATAATTAACTTTTTTTATAAAACTTTTCTGTTACATCTTACTTTAAAGTAATAACAAGCAACCTCCTGTTAGATATTGTTAATTAATTTTCAGGTGAAGAATAGTGACTTGTGGGATTTTTTTAAAGTTTAAACAGGAATTGCTATGAAAAAAATTAATTATTTTGTGCAGATGTTACCACAAGTACACCTACAGTTCCAGTAGTTGGTGGGCTACCATTGACTACCCCTATTAACTTGCCAGGGATGCCTCCCATCACAGTCTCTGCCACTCTGCCCCATGATGCTATGGTAGATGTTGTCACTTCCACTACTGAGAAACCAACAGGGTTAGGTAAGGCTATAAAATATGTTTCAATTTAATGAAAAAAATAAAGGATTCTTATGACATATTTTAAATGTAAATTTGGAGTTTTACAACTCAAGTTACTTGTAGATTAAGGTGTTTAATTTATTTTGAAAATTGCATTTAAATATATGTATAATAAAGATTAGATATGCTAATAAAGAATGTATTTTTTTTTATATAGGTCAAACGACAGCTTTTTTGTCATAAAATATGAAGAACTTTTGTTGATGGTAGAAAATTCTGTTTATATCTGATTATATATGCATGTTCATAAGTAACAATGGCACTGTAGATTAGTTGTAATTACTAGATGATTTTAATCTATGAAAGAGTTGTGATATCTTATGGTAGATCAGTGGTAAGTGTAAGATTTACATTGCTAAAATCCAGGGCTTAATTCCCCATAGTAAACAAAGTACAGATAGTCCATTGTATAGCTTTGCACTAAAATGGCAACAACCAGTAGGTTGGAACTGTATCATGGAACTTAATAGCAGCTTGATCCTACAAGAACTTCAGTATTTTATCAAGGGTACAAAATGAGCATGTTTTAAATCACATTGTGATATATCTGAAGAACTGGTTTACATGGTAGGATAGTGATACATGCTTCTGAAATTTCTCAATGCTTTTTCCAATATATTTTTCTTTATCTAGTTTCCCTAATCCCAAAGTGCTTGGACTATATCAATTTCTTACTTGGAACTAGAGGGATATTCCATAAACGTGTTGAAGTAAAACTACATACCATCCCATTTTTTTGTTAGTGTCAGTTATATCTTATTTAGCTTATTATGGTCACAAGGAGTCTTCATATGCTTTTTACATCTTATCCTCCATATTCTTTTTGATAATACATTTAGTTGACTGTTGTTGGAAAAAAATGATTAAGCTCTGCATGATCGTTTATTGTTATTAAAATGTTTCTTTGCTATTTGTCCTCCAGTGGCTCAGCAGTAAGTCTGGGGGCTAACACCATTAAAAATTGGGTTTCAGTACTTGTAGTGGGCACAGTACAGATAGCCCTTTACGTAGCTTAGAATATTTGTAAAGATGTAAAACTTAAACTTAGTTAATAGTAAAAAAAAGAATAATTGTAAACATTGTTGTTTCAGCAAAGACAAATTTGTATAACCTCTGATTTAAGATACTATTAGTATTTTATTTTAATGGTGAACTTTTTTATTCCAATTTTTTTTTCAAATTTTTACACTTGCTAGTTTACATACTCATCCTATGAGTGAGAAGAAATTCTAGACATATTTGCATTGAAATATATAGGATTGATTTATAACTGATCAGTTTTAAAATAAAGTTTCAACTAAATTGAGTACAGTGGCTTAACCCTGTGTGTGTAGGTGGGGGTCAAAGTGTGCATGTTCCAGCCTGGTACCATTAAAGATGGTATTATGCATTTGATGTCAGAGTTACAAACTTATATGTTATCCCTATATTGCTGATATCACAACAGTTTGTGTTGGACTAGAAAAAATGCCAGATACAGTATATAGGGGTATTTTGATAAAATTTTAAAATGCATGTAGGAGACTGTAGAGGTTGTACAAATGCAATTTATAAAGTGTATGATGGACAAAAGTATTTTTATTCTACATGTGAACATATTATTGTGCTCCACCTTTTCAGAGCTAAGGCAGACTAACATTGGCATTTCACAGGCATACTGTTCCATGTTTTATATATGTATTGAACATGGAAGTTTTGAAAGCAGTTTAATTTGTTAACTTTGTTAAAATCTAGGTCATATTAGCATGAAAAGCTAAAAGTATTCAAAACATTTTCAACTCTTATTATTTCAGTTTGATTACCAGAGTGAGTGTTTTTGATTAAAAATTACAAACACTGTTTTGGTTTTATAGCCTTAGATTATTTTTTTATTGTAAGTATGAATAGGACAGATATTAAATGTTCATTTTCAAATCTGCTTCCATTCTAAATTATTGTTAAAAATACTTCATGGGGTCAACTGATGTTTCTCATGCTGTAGTTTTGTTATATAATTTTTGGCATTAAAGTGGGTGATCTAATTGTGCTATATAATCAGAAAAGAGGAAATTAACATAAATTGAAATATTTGTCACTATCTGTAATGAAAACTGAATTCTAGATATCCATATGACTAGTTGAAACCAATACATATGGAAACTTTTTAAAATTTCAAAGTAGTAGTACTTACACAAGATTTAACATATTTAACTTTTAAAATATACAAACTCACAGTCTACAGATGTACTTGTATAGTTGAATACAGTTTTTAAATAAATTTATTCAGGGAAAAAAATATGTAGCATGAATCTATTACTGATTCACTAAAAATATGAAATAACCTTTTTAAAATTTTTAGCTATTAGAAGATAGTAGTATTTTTAGTTAAATGCTAACTGTTTTTATTATTAAAATATACAAGTATTTTGATATTTTTCTTAAAGCATTAAAGAATTTGTGATATTCTATATATTTTCATACTTTTGTTACATCATCTGTTTCCTGGTTGGATGTATAAGCAATGGGTAAATAAAAATACTGTGATGCAATGAGAAAATTTTCCTCAACATTTTTTTTCTTTTGGGGTTAAGAGTTTTCTTCTCCATAAGATATTTCTGGCACTTTTTGTTGTCTGATAATAGGTTATCCTATTCAGTAATAAAAATAGCACATCACTTCCTTTAGATCACATATAAAATTGGTAAGAGTTGAATCTAAGTTTCAAATGGACAGCAACTGCCTGTTGTAGAAACCTACAAATGTAGAGGACATTTGTA